GTGCTTGGTAATCTGATCGGAAATTCATACGCCAGACGACCAATTTGGCCAATCACATTTCGAGTATCGGCGCGTTCAATAGGTTGAATAGACTTTTTGGCTTCAAAGGTGTTGTTGTGTTCGCATTGTTTTAAGGTATTCCATTATGGTTCCTTTCGAAGGGTTGTGATCGACTGCCACGACGAGTAGCGACTTGCAACCGCGGTCTTGATATTTTAAAGTTTGTTAATGAACTTTCTAGCGTCTTGCGTGGTGCGTTGTGACCCGGTGATCACGTGCTTTATTGTCCTCCACGGATTGGAGTCTCTGGTAGCGTAATGACTGGCGGAAGTGGAGTTCTACTCTTATGGAACTTCGATAGGCCACCGAATTCCGCAATGTTGTCATCAATTGCTTTCATTTTCTATCCCGGTTCTCTCGGGCGCTGCTTGCAGTTTCCTTCACGCATTTTTGATTTTGCTCAGGATAGACATTTCGAAAGGTACTTGTTGGATTCAACGGTTCGTCGGCTTTTTCAGTGTAGTCCAGTTTACCCAGTATAACTGTGGTCCTTCCCTAGTCTGTTGGCAGTATGACGATTGATCGAGGAGAGGTCCGCTGTGCTGTGATGACCTTGGGGGGATACGCTGATAGGGTATTTGTTCCTTCGAGTTTGATTTTGTCAGCAAGGCAAACGGAGAAACGATGAGTCGCGAAACACCATGGTGTGATTGAGCATACCACGAAGAGGTTTGAAGGCGAAGCCGTAGTACCACGGTACCAATAAGGTCTCTCCTACAGGCATCAGTGTTCCATCTTTATGGAGCGATTCTGACTTCCCCCGAGAGAAAATTGGCCGGAAAAGACCAGCCATAAAGTTAGCGTACCTCAATTGCCCAAAGATTGACTGTGATCACCGGCATACTAACCAATACAGCCTGAATACTTCTAAAGGCCACGAGCCCGATACAGCTGAAAACGAACCTGTTGTGCACAGCAACATTCCTCTTGCTTTGTGCGTTCACGGACTAGGCTAGTCCGTGACCCGTGGATCGTTGGCTTCAAGAAGGTTTACTCATGGGAGCCTACGAATTGAAGACTCAGCGGCTTGGTTCAAACCCACTCAAGCCTGCACCCTGTGTAGTCGGATTAAACACCAAGGCAGCCTGTTTAGGTAGGAGCATCGCCGGACAAATCAAACTTGGAACCTGTAATACG